CAATAACGTGTTTGAAAAAAGCAAGCAAAAATAAAATAACAGCACCTGGTTTTGTTTACAAACAAAGGGAATAATATATTCAGAGTACCATCTCCTGCCTTACTCACTGCTATTCTAGAAATGCCAATAAAAACCAACTCTAAGCTGACTCAAAGCAACTCTGTACGATACGTATGGACTGCCTTTGTGGGTTTTCAATACTGTAGTTCTTGATGGAAGTAGAACACCCTGCATTTCTCCCATGGAGAAATGCCAATAGTGTGGAAAAGCCAATAGACGAGAGTATATAAAAAGATTGGGTCTTTAAAAACTGCCTTCCAAGACAACTTAACATGTATGTATAATTTATCCTATTTTTTAGTCATTGGAGAATTTTTAATAATAATTACTTCCACAAAGGTTTTTTTACTTAATTTAATCCAATCTTGTAAAGTAAGTGTTGTGGCTCTCATTTCATAATGGTTGATCATAGGGAAGATGTTCATGAATATTCAGAACAAAGATTCTAGTGTGTGTATTAAAACCATGTTATTGAACATTACAATTCATCTATTCATTGGTATTAGAAATTATCAAATACATTTCAATTGTTGAGAATCACTTACATTGACCACTTTTCCATTTCTTTATATTTTTTAATGCTATTTTGTTTTCTTTAATACATCAAGTTTAGCCAAGGAAGAAATAAAACCATCACTTCCTTTTATTTACAGAGAAAATTGCAAGCATAGGGTCTCAACTATTTTGTCACTGCCTATCCCATCTCCAGAAGGAAGTAATGGTTCACTGGTAAAACCAATATCTTCTATGTGACAAATCCAGGTTTGATTCTCTGGCAATTCACCTGAAATGTAAACATGGCCCATATATGTCAGTGTAGAATTTGGGTTCAGAGTGATGACGAATAGGTTTCACCATCCCTTCAGGGCTAAGCTAGAGTAGGCAGTAGTCATGGTGGCCTATTTTCAGAAAGAAACTAGTAGAAAATTTTGTGGATCTCAATGGTCCAATCCCAAAATGCAGAGAGTTGCCGTGAGATGAAAACCAACTCAAAGGCAGTCAACAATAGCATCACTGACT